AACAGATAAGGAACTGATAACCAGAATACACAAGGAACTAAAGAAGCTGTTTGGAAAAAAGATGATCAACTCTATTAAAAGATGGGAGAAGGAGTTGAAAAGAACACTCACTAAAGATGACATACGAATAGCCAGAAGGCATATGAAAAAATGCTCAACATCCCTCATCATAAGGGAAATGCAGATCAAAACAACAATGAGATACCACCTAACCCCAGTCAGAATGGCTAAGATAAAAAAATAATAATAATAAAAAATTATAAGTGTTGGAGGGGGTGTGGTGAAAGGGGAACTCTCTTACACTGCTGGTTGAAATGTAAATTTGTCCAACCACTGTGGAGAGCAATTTGGAGATTCCTCAAAAGTCTACAAATAGAACTGTCATATGATCTAGCAATCCCATTTCTTGGCATCTACCCAAAGGACAAAAGAATTTCTCATTGGAAAAGAGCTTGCACATCGATGTTTATTGCAGCACTTTTCATGATTGCTAAGACATGGAACCAACCCAAATGCCCCATACGGCTGAATGGATTGAAAAATTGTGGCACATATACTCTATGGAATACTATTCAGTCATTAAGAACAACAAAACCCTGGCTTTTGACAGAAAGTGGAAGAATATGAAAGATTTACTGCTGAGTGAAGCAAGCCAGGCTATGAAGTAAAGACACTGTATGTCCCCACTTAATATTTACCGAATATCCGCACTCTGTAACTGAAACTGATGGGCTAAAGGATGAACAAACACAAGAGGTGGATGTGAATGCCAAATGTGGTGTGTATGGAGGAGTGGGGCCTGGGGAAAAACATTTGGAGGAGGGATACGAAGACAGCATTGTTGAGACAGGGAGGTAGTGTTGTTATATTTTGATCAACTTGATCAGGGAGAAGTGTTCTTATATTGAAATGATCACCTTGTAAGCTAAATAATGTGATTGAATGTATTAAAAAATGTAAATAAAAATAAATTAATTAAAAAAAATTCACACTGGGTGCGCATGTACGTGCATGCCCAAAATCCTAAGAGGAGAAAGGAAGAGGAAGGATTGTGGTGTGGCTATCCCCTCTAGGGGGGTGATTTCTCACCGTCTCCTATCTCTCTGGCAAGCACATACACCCTACAGCAAAAATCTCTCTACAAAAAAAAAGCCGGTTGGGACAAGCAGATGGTGTTTAAAAGGTACGTCATTGTACTCCCATGTAGTCAACCACAGTTCAAGTCCTAGACCAGACACTTAAGACGCATGCCAGATGCATATGTGTGAATTCTCAAAGGAGATTGCAGCATGGCCATCCCCCGGGGGGGTGATTTCTTGCTTTTTGTCTCTCTGTATCTACAGCAAGCACACACGCCCTATAGCAAAAATCTCTCTTTCAGAAAAAAAAAAGTCATTTGTAAGACAGCTGCACTTTTTTAAATTTTATTATTATTATTATTTATACATTTGATTGCTACACATCATTTGGCATGCAAAGAGAAGACAGCTGCACTTCTGATACAGAACAAATTAGGATATTACCTGCATAGTTTGGAAGGAAAAATCTTCTTGTAAGAACTTTTTAATGTGAGGAACCACACCTTTTGGTAGAGTATTAATTGCATTTAATAACTTCTTTACTTCTAATAATAGGTTAACAGGGACAAGATCAGTAGGTATCTCCTTTTCCTGTTTCTCCTAGAAGACATTATACATTCAAAATTACACAATCATATTTACTCTAATATTAAACCAAAGTATTAAGCCAAAGCATTAAAAAAAAGAACAAAGTGCCTCTTACATGTAGATCACTGTGACAGAACTATAAAAAATTCTAGTTACCAATTAAGGCATTTTGGGGGCTAGATGGTAGTACAACAGTAAAACTTAACACACTGTGAGGCTGACCCACATATAAAGGTTCCAGGTTTACATCCAGAGATCTCCCTGAGTACACCGGGTATATACTTATATATTATTTTAGCTAAGGCTAGAGGTGGGTCACAGCATCAAAATACTGTTAGGGGAACTGCCTCATGTAAAAAATAAATTAATTAAAAAAATAAAGAGTAAGACACTCCTGGTTCAGTCACTAGTGACACACTCTAGTATAATGCTGCTCCACAGACTGAGGTCATATGTGAGGCCCAAGTTCAATTCCTAGTCTATTCTAAGAGCTGGGCACAGTGGCAGCCTCCCAAGTAGCTGCTGAGTCAGGAGGATTGTGATCTGGAGGCTGGCCTATGCAACATAATAAGACCTGACTTAAAGAGTCAGGCATGGTGACAGGCACCTATGCCCCAGCTACTCAGGAGGCTGAGGCAGGAAAATTATGACAGAGGGAGACCCTGCTTTAGGAAAAAAAAAAAAATTAAGGCATTCTCTCTATTCTCAAGGAACTTCCAGTATTACATAAATAATTCCACATAATACAGAAACTGTAAGAGTGTTTTTTACTGTATGTGAATGATGCTTCAGGTATTAAACACACAGCAATTTGAAATGATAGAGGGCAGAGAAAGAGGGAATCAAGGGGGAAAGAAGCAAAACATTTAAGGGACACAAAAATGGAAAATTATCTGTTGATGATATGTATAGTAATATCTTTGATTGAACCAATATATAGTGTATTCAGAATGGGAGAATTCATTTGGTATATTATAATTATACACAGTAATTGAATATAAAAACAAAGAAAGAATAGTGCTATAACAGCATAAATTGTAAAGAAAGTAGTAAAATACAGTATCTCTTATTGTCTCAATTCAGCCAGAGGTGAGAAGTAATAAATTTCAGACTTCAAGTTGATTCTTATGGATGTATTAAGACCATTAGTAATATTAGTTGTGAAGAACTGGGAGCAGTAGAGGTGGATAAATGCCTTGGGACACTTGGAGGAGGATATCCTTGAAAATCTTAATGAGACACCAAATTTCCTATATCTAGGTGAAACCTTAGGAGTATGATTATGTTGCTGTTGATCTCTGAAAATCAGAACAGCTTCTTATTGCTGAAACCACATATAGTCTTTGTTACCAAAAAACAGCATGGTGTGGGTGACTCTTTGACTGTCAGTTATCTAAAAGACCTGGAACTAAACAAGAAAGTGACTAGTAACCAAAAAAAGTGCATTGCAGGACCACTTGTCTACTCTCCTGTCTTGGGTTTGAGTCTTAAACTAAGATTACTCCATTCCCATTCATATCCAAGAAATATCCCTTACATTTTACAGTAAAAATTATGTCCAAAAATGTTAACAGATCTGTTAAATCTCTGTTAAGAATATATAGGCATTGAGAACCAGCAGTTAGCGTAATGGCTATGTCACTGGACTCCCACGTAGTCGACTACAGTTTGCGTCCCAGACCCAGTGGCTTAAAACTCATGCCGGGCACATGTGCGTGTGTGCCCAAGATCCCTAGAGGAGAATGGAGAAGGGATTGCAGCATGACCATCCACCCTGGGGAGGTGATTTCTTGCTTTCTGTCTCTATGTCTCTCTCTGTCTGGAGAGCGCACGGACCCTATAGTGAAAATCTCTCAAAAAAAAAAAAAGAATATATAGGCATAGTTTTTGTTTTACTATTTTTGCAGCTTCCTCATAAGTTTGAAATTTTTCAGAGCACCAAGTAACTAGAAAAACCCTTATAAAGAATGACCACTATCAGTGCATATATTTTGAGTCAATGGTCAATTCTGAGGTCAAAAGTCAATGCAGAATTATCAGATACTAATCAATACATTTACTGTAAATAAGGTCATGGCATGAGGGGCCAGAAGGTGGCATGGTGGTTAAGGTGCTGGACTCCCTCATGGCCAACTGTGGTTTGAGTCCCAGACCTGTCAGCTTGCTTTCTCACTTTCTCTCTCTCTGGTGAGAGCACATACCCTACAGCAAATAAAAAAAATTATAATAATAAATTAATTACATACATAATTCTTTGAGGAATAAAGATCATGACATGAATAAAATTTTGCAACAAAATACTATAATCTTCATGCTTATTAAATATTTATATCTTATGATAAATAATATTTTAATGTTTTTAATTACCAAGATATTTGATTATTGATCCAGTTTTGCAAAACCGATTTAACCAAATTCTGGCCAAAGTTGTTCCCTTCTTGCTTTCTATAGTACCAAATATATGCCTAGCAATTTCTTTTCAGGATCTAATCCCCTGGTTCTTGTTTTTATTCAGTCGTGTATAGCCCAATGTACATTTGCAGATACTGTATTTCTTCTGCAAGATTTTTGACAGTGACAACTTCATACAGGTGAATACTATGATTATTTTATTTTCATGTATTTTCACATCCTAAATGACTGGATAAGCTTTGAAAACTTCATTGACAAGTAGACATTAATCACATGTACTATGTGGAAAATAAAAATTGCACTAACAAAAACCCAACAAACAAGCATCTCTTCTTCAATCTTTTGCTAAATATAAAGACATAAGGTATTCATATAAAATTTTAAACCACCATTCAGTATGCTGTGACTGGCAATAAAAGCTTTATGTTACTACATAATTCAGTTACTCCCTTTCATACAGTCTTAGAAATTCTATCAGTAAAGATAATAAAATAAGGAAGAAAACTTCAGAAACAATTGAGTAAAACTACTTACTAAATAAGTAAGTGTGTATGTTTTCTTTGCATATGTGTAGTTTTTGTTTTGTTTTAATTATCCCTTCAAAAGACAAATCGAGGGTTTCTTAAAACAGATTGTTGGGACGTTACTGGGTTAGTCAATTTTCTACTAATTTTAACTTTTGGAAAGGACTGGTACTTAGAATGATAATTTTAAGACACCATATCGATCATTAAAAAGAGATGTAATTATGACCATTTTCCTTATTAACATAGTAGTCACTCAAAAATTTTCAGATAATGAAACTGACTGGATTTAGATTACATTCATATACATACTAGTCATTTCTAAATAACTAGAAGTTAATGAAAATTAAATGCTCTCTTACCAGTTGGCCAGCTGGTTTTTCTACCTTATTCTCAGTTTCCTGCTTTATCTGCTCTTCCACAGCAGGATCCCTATTTTAAATGAAAAAGAAAGGTATATTCAGATTATATCCTTATATAGAACACAATTAACCTGTAGTAGTAAAGAAAACTGAACAACTGAATCTTTCCTGAAAGTTAAAGAAGTATAATGATAACATTGTTAGGTACCTGATCTCTTTAGAGACTCAAGTTAAAGAAATTATGCCATGTCCATGGTAACAGAAAAAACAACAAGCTGGTGCATCTTTTTTTTTTTAATTTGCTATAGGGTATGTGGACTTTCTGTAGACACACACACACACACACACACACACACACACACACAGAGGAAAGAGAGAAAGTGAGACTAGAAGATAGCATAATGGCTACATTGTGGACTCCCATGTAGTTGACTATGGTTTGAGTACTGGACCCGGTGGCTTAAACTAACGCCAGGCATGTGTGTACACACTCATGCCCAAGATCACAAGAGAAGAATGGAGGAGAAGGGATTGTGGCGTGGCCATCACCCCTAGGGGGATGATTTCTCTCTTTCTGTCTCTCTCTTCCTGGCGAGCACACAAGCACACGCACCCTATAGCAAAAACCTCTCCAAGGGAAAAAAAAGAGAGAGAGAGAGAGAAAGTAAAAAAGCAATCCTTTTTCCTCCATTTTCCTCTTAGGATTTTCGGCACACATGCACACCCACACAACATATTTTACAAACTGCTGGATCCAGGACTCACATCACAACGTTAGCCATGTGGGATCTAGCTGCCTCCACACCATGGGCTGGCTCGGAGGCTCAAGTATCATTAACAGGCCACAGATCAAAATAATGAGGAAAATAAATAATCTTGTATCACTGTTTCAAGACAAAGAAAAAGGTTCTTGAAAAGAATGTTTTGTTGTGTGTGTATGTTTATGTATGGCTGAGGTATGTGTGTTTATGAGGATGGTAAAGGTTAAAAAAAGATCTCACAGAGATCACTTTTTAAAATTTGCCAGAGTATGCGTGTACTCACCAGAGAGAGATGGGAAGAGGGGTGATGGGAGGTGAGAAGCACCCCTCATAGAGCATGGTTATATCACAATCCCTTCTCCATTTCCCCCTCCTCTTGGCATTTTGGGCATGCATGCACATGCACTTATATTTTTCAAGCCACCAAGTCTGGGACTCAAACTGCATAGCTGGCTGTGTGGGATCCATTGCCTTAACTACCAGGACATAGGTTGGTCCAAGATCATTTTATTTTTTGCTTGGTACTACTAGATGTAATTGTCCACTTTTCCAAAATCAATGGACAATATTATATTTAGAAATTATTAACCATTTTGGTTAAAAGGAATAACTTCACAGGATGTGCTTTTAACATAACTTGAAATGCAAACATACACAATGTTATATAATGAACTAAAAATTAATTTATAAAATTGCTTTTTATATTAAACCATGATATAGAAATGATAATATAAATGTCTTAATATAGGATCTTATATGATTTACATAATCTTCATAATTCTGTACACTAGTAGAGATAAAACTGAAGTGAGAAACTCATTCACTGATTTACCTAGAATTATACGTTGTAAATATTACCTGTTTTAACTTATATTTCAATTAATAAGTAATCATTTATCTTCTCCTGTATGCTGACTTAATTAAGGAAAATGGGGACAGATAAACAGTGTAGTATTATTTACCTTTTCATACTCCTAGTGAAAATTTCAACAAAAGACAATTTATACACACAGAATTTCACAATATGATTCTCAGGGCTCTTACAGCATCATGGTAAAGACAAACTTACTAACTGCCTTTTCTTCTGCTTCTAAGCTTTACTCTGAAAAGGAACACAGGGAAGAACATCCTTGTGTAACCAAGGAATGAAAAACATCACAGTAACATTCTGAAGCCTTTCAAGGTCTGAGAGAAGAGTGCAAAATGTTCTCAAATGGATACTCTACTCCACATCTTCATTTCATGATCATGCACTCCTTAACCCAGATGCATATTAAAATCAGCTGTAAAGGGGACCAGACAGTGCAACAGTGGTAAAACACAATATTCTCTATGAAACAATCCCATATGGGAAGGTTCCTGATTCAAGTCCAGACACCTCCCCGAGGACCCTGGGGCACGCATATGCTCATGAGCTAGGTCTGGCTGAGGTTACAACATCAAGACCCTGGTGAGAATGCTGTCTTTCTCTCTATGTCTCACTTGGTCATGGGAGAAAAGAATAAACAAATTGAAATACCTCCTCAGTATAAAATAAAACTCTGAAACAAGGCAGTTTAAACCTTCCCCCCAAAATTTTTAAAGTATTTTTTTCTTGCTGTTTCCTCAAATACTTTCAATCCACCCTCGCTTTTATAGCTATCAAATGTTTCTCATTTTCAATAATAATTCCTTCCTAAAAATAGCCACAGCCTCTCCAATATAATACTTATTTACTTGGCCAAAAGATGTACTTTTTATGTCTTCCCCTACAAGTTCTTGCTTAAGTATACACATTTTGTCTGAGTATTTATTCCCTAAGCATCAAGGAGTCATTAAACGTTTGTAAATTAATAGATTATATTGCTTATTACACAAAACAGTTCAAGGTTGGAAAAAACAGCTCTAATACTTATCCATTAGTTAGTATTATATAAGATGGATACAGACAGGCTGAACCTACACTGGTTGGAGAGGAAAGACTGTCATTTGGGCTGGGCCCTATTAAGCCACTTTGTAGGGTTTTTGCATTATGCTTAACCTCTATAAAATGGGTGATCATAAGACCACCCATTTTATAGAGTTGTGATGAGGTTTATATGAGTTCTAAAGCCATTAAAAACAATGTCTTGCACACAGTAAGTTTATGTAAGTGCTTGTTAAATAATAAAACATTAGTTTGGTGAGAGTGGCCCAAGCATGGTAAGATGTAGCACATTTTTCAGTTCTTAGCTCTTTAGCTACAATGTGATCCCCAGAGAACTTTTCTAAAATTACACTTCACCAAGGATACATATCCCAGTAGTCAAATTTGCTGGAGTACAGCATAGGGTATCTCATTCACACTAGCTTTCCAAGGTTATGTGGAAAGACAAATGTTGTCTCTTCAAAACGTAATACTCACAGCCGGTTTTGGTCAACCCATTCCTTACCTCATAAAAAATTCTTCTGATGGTGACTCCATGCCGCACAATGTTCCTTTACAAGTCTTATTCCAGTGCTTGTAAATTTACTTTTATTGCTGTACAGAGCTGTAAACAAAGTAATATTTTTTTAATGGAAAGGTAAAAGAGTCAACATTCCTTTTTCACTACTGTAAAAATAGTATATTATCATTAAAAAAATTTAACATGCTATAAAAGAAGAAAATGAATTACATAGTTCCACTATCCAAACATAATCATTGCCTATACTCTAATATACTTACTTTTTTCCAAGCACAGGTATATTTTTTATAAATTTGTAACCATATTTAGTAGAAAATGTTCTACCCTACCTTTTCACCACTGAATATTCATCAAAATCATCTTTCATGTTATTTAATCCTCTTCATAAACATTCTCAATAACTCTGCAGCAATTTGACAGGGATTTCCTTGATCATTTCTTCATAATTAGATGCTTGTATTTCCTATTTTTTCTATTATAGTTAGTTCCATAATAAATTCCATTCCACATAAAGCTTTTCTATATTTATGATTATTTCCTTACAAATAAATTCTCAAAAGTAGAATTATGTCAAAGACACAAATATTTTGAGCCATTTAGTGCACAGCACTAGCTAGCTTCCCAAAAGGTTTGTACTAATTTATTTTTCAGAGTATATAATTCCTGCCTAACACAATCTTGATGGTTCTGTTTTGTTTCCTTTCAGTCTAAAAATAACATTGTTGTCACTTTCCTCCACAGTCGTGATTCCCTACTTCCACAAAATAGGGGAGGTCAGATGTAAAGAACTCTGGCACATTCTCTGGTTCAGTGGATGCTGTGAGTGCTAACTGGAAGAAAATTACTGAGCAACACAAATGAAAATTTAAAAACAGGACCAGAGTGTCATTAATGTATCTATTGTTATATATTGCTCTCTACCTTAACTATTCCAAGAGCAACTTCTCTAAAATTAGTTCCGCTGGCCTCCTTTAGAGCTCAAGCCTTCAGATTTCAGTGCCCTCTGCTAGGCTCGCTTTCCTTTCTGATCCCACTCTGTAAACCCACCAAGTGTTAGAACATACATATACAAAAATATTGCTAGGCAGTCTGGAACAGGGAAAGAAATGATGAAGGAAAAGAAAGAAAAGGGGCAGCAATAGCATAAGTGAAAGATACCTAGACTCAGGGCCAGCAGGTGGCATGATGGTTAAGGAGACTGGACTCCCACATGGCTAACCACGGCTTGAGTCCTGGACCTGGCAGCTTGCTTTCTCACTTTCCTTCTCTTTCTCTCTCTCTCTGGTCAATTTCAAATAAATAAATAAATAAATAATGACAATGAATAAAATAAAATAAAAAATAATTCTTAAAAAAAAAGATACTTATGGAACCAGCAGTTAGCGTAATGGCTATGTCGCTGGACTCCCACGTAGTGGACCGCAGTTCGTGTCCCGGACCCGGTGGCTTAAAACTCATGCCGGGCGCGTGTGCGTGTGTGCCCAAGATCCCGAGAGGAAAATGGAGGAGAAGGGATTGCGGCGTGACCATCCCCCCTGGGGGGGTGATTTCTCGCTTTCTGTCTCTATGTCTCTCTCTGTCTGTCTGGCGAGCGCACGCGCCCTACAGTGAAAATCTCTCCAAAAAAAAATAAATAAATAAAAAGATACTTAGACTCTTGCTACCAAACACAAGACTTAAGTTTCTTATTACTGCTTCTGGACCACTTGTTTATCTCAGTTAATTGGATAGCCAGTCTCTCTGATAGCTTAATTAGTGTACATGAATAAATTATTACTAAAAGGCAATTTAGAATAGGTAATTACTAAATCAATAAAATATATTCTTAAGATTAATTCACCTATTGAAAATTCAAATTCTAGCCCAACTGTGGTGGTACAACCAGTGGGATTCTGCTATGAGAGTCTGGGTCACATGGGAGGTCTAGGTTTGGATCCTGGACAAACCTGAACAGGCGAGGCATCATGGTGCATGCCTGTAATCCTGGCTAAGTGACGGATGGGGCAGGGGATAGCAAAGGCAAGACCTTGCCAAAAAAGACACACATAACCCCTCTTTCTGTCCCTTTGTCTCCCTTTTCGCTTGCTCTCTTGTACATGCTCTCTGTTTAAAAAGAAAAGAGTATTTCAGATCATTTTTACGTAACCAAGCATTGCTTCATATACTGTTGAGCTGCCTCCTTTTCCAAAAAATCAATATAACACAAAAAGGAAGAAAAATAATTGAAGGATCTAAAGCCTCTCCTAAGCCCTGAGTTCTGAGTATTTTCTCACTACTGAGGTTAAATCAGAGAAGGAACTCAGTCCTGGCATAGGGGCTAAAAGAAGTGCTGCAGAGATCACCTGCAATACAGTACTAATTATGATACTACCAAGATTCTATATTTAACTCCCACAAACCCTAAGTAATACAGTCTTAAGAGACAAGAATAATTCTTCAACAATTTTATGTGGATACTTCTTAAAACGCAAATGCAAGCCCTCCCGCAGCATGCTGGTCAAGGCAGACAGTTCTCACGTGGCCAGTTGTGTGGTTTGAGTCCCGAACCTGTTGGCTTGAAAAACATACCAGGTGTGTATGTGCATGCCCAAAATCCTGAGAGGAGAATGAAGGAGGACTGTGGCCATGGTCATCCCCCAGAGATGCTTTCTTACTTTCTCTTTCCAGTGAGTGCATGTGCCCTATAGCAAGCAAGCAAACAAAAAAAACACACAAACACAAAGACATATATACACACAGGTAAACAGACTTCCTTCTAAATTTCCTCATTTAAAACAGAGAACTTCCAGGGCCAGCAGGTGACATGGAGATTAAGGAGTTGTAATCCCGCACAGAAGACTGAGGATGGAGTTCCAGACTTGATTTGCTTTCTCACTTTCCCTCTCTCTCTCCTCCCTCCCTCAATCTGTCTGTCTCTGGTGAGTACACCTTCCATATGGCATATTTAAATAAATAAATATTTTAATAAAGAGACCTTTCTAATATCTCTTAATTTCTTACCCATCTCTAACAAAATAAAATAATTTGCTTAGTATTATAACTTGCTTATATAGAATATAGTTCTCATGGGTAGATTATTTTATAGTCTCTTATTTTTCAAATTCAGTAAGTGAGCAAAGTACTCATTAAATTTGCCTTCTCTGTTCACAAACTAATGAAAAATACAACCTAAACCTAATAAAGAAACAGAGAAAGTTTGTTAGTCTTTCTAGATCATATCAGCTTCATAAGCTTTGAATGTTTAGGTGTGATCAAACTACGTCTCTCCTCTGGTTTCTATAAACTTCTCTGGTTATTTCAATAAAAAGAAACAAGGTATTATTTCATAGTCCAGCTTTACAAACATAACATGTATTTTCTATACAAAACAGTACTCTCATTTCCAGGATTTATAAAACTCAGACTTGGAGACCTCCCCCTCTGATAAGTTCTTTTTTAGTCAGTAGCTGTTTTCACAGATAAACAAGAGGATAAAAGGAAGGGAAGAAAATCCTTTCATGACAAGGTAGAGAGGACAGACCCGCTCTGCTAAGTTGTTCGGTGCTCAGATTGAAAAATAAAAGGGTCCACTTCCAACTTGAGACCCCTGACATAAGGGATACTGAGGCAGGGCTCCCCAACCCAGCTCCAGCCCTGGGACCCCCAAGTCAGAGACCCCTATCTCTGTCAGCAAGGTAAGATTTCCTTTACTTCTCCTCTCTTCCATTTTTCATTTCTCCTTGCCACACAGGAAAGCCCTCAGCTCTGCAGCCACTTCCAACTGCAGACCCCTAGCGCACGGCACACGACTTTTTCTTTATTTTCCTTATTATTTTCTTCCCACTTATGTAGTCCTAACGTCCTAACTTCCTTTATCTACACTATCCCTGGCGGTTTAGATAGGTCTAGAATTACAGTTTTGAAATATTCTAGTATTTTAAGACTCTCCGGGATTCTCCCTTTTACTGAACTACCTGCATAAAAAGGAGATACTTTTCTTTATACACCGGAAGAGAATACTCCTCCTTGGATCACACTACTAAACACAAACAAAAAAGAGACTACTTTAGTAGTCTTCAGTCCACTGCAAAAAGGAAACACACTTGCTCCTATTCAAGGAAACGTTCTCTTAAAAGGTATTCCAAGGGAACACATCTCCCAATGGTTAGAAGTAGAAGAACCTCAGGTTTGAATAAAACAGGAAATATGTCTCCATCAAAAGAACACAGTGACTCCCTTCCATTTCTTGAAAAAATAGAGGACGTTACCAAAACGTCTGAGAAAGAATTTAGAACATTCATGGTGAACAAATACTATGAGCTGAAACAGAAAAGAGACAATGAACTACAGGAGATTAGAAATTCCTTCCACCTTATGAAGGAAGAAATGGACATGCTAAGAAAGAATAAGATGGAAATATCAGAGGTGAAGTCTGTAATACAGGAAATCAAAAACTCTCTCTAAAGTATTAAAAGTCGATTAGAAAATGCTGAAGATCGAATCTCTGATGTAGAAGATAAAATTTCTGACCTAGAGAAAACCACCAAAAAGATAGAGAAAATAACCAAAAAAAAATGAGGATAACATACAAGAAACACTAGATTCCATTAGTCGTCTAACATCTGAATAATTGGTAATCCAGAAGACGAAGAAACTAGTAAGGACATGGAAAACCTATTCCATGAAATTTTGAAAGAAAATCTCCCAAGTCTAGAGAGGGACTCAAACATCCAGAGCCAAGAAATACAAAGGACTCCAAACAGAATCAATCCAAAAAGATCATCAACAAGGCATATCATAGCCAGACTGGCAAAGACCACAGATAAAGATAAGATACTAAAACTGGCAAGAGAGAAAAGACAAGTGACTCACAAAGGCCACCCCATCAGGCTAACTCTGGACTTCTCAACAGAAACAATGGAAGCAAGAAAACAATGGGAAGATGGGACCAGCAGTTAGCGTAATGGCTATGTCGATGGACTCCCACATAGTCGACCGCAGTTCGAGTCCCGGACCTGGTGGCTTCAACTCACGCCAAGCGCGTGTGCATGTGTGCCCAAGATCCCAAGAGGAGAATGGAGGAGAAGGGATTGTGGCATGGCCAT